GGTAATGTGTGAGCATGTTACGTAGCTGTTACACTGTAGAAGTGTGCATCAGATTGCCTATGTTTACTGCTGTCTTGCTCTCCATTTACCCTCTCATTTCCCCCAGTTGTTCCATCCATTAAATGATGCAAAGCCACATTTTTCAGTCTGCTTACACTCCCTGGTTGCTAAAAAAAAAAAACATTCCCTGAAAAAGCTGCCAACCACACTAAGTCCCATATGTTGCATCACCTGCAGTGACCCTCCATATTTTTCAAGCTGTGTTCAGAGATTGGCTTGCTGGATTGATCTAACTTGTGAGGTCAAATCAGGGCCAAGTAGCTTTAAGGGAAGAGACTGGATTTCAGGCCAAAGAAATGTGCGGGCTGTTGGTCACAATCACAATAAATATGAGTGATTAATGCGTTGCAATGATTTACTTTTGTTTTTTACTTAAATATTCTCAGTCACTTATTTGTACTCAATTTATGCTGGTCTTAGTTTATAGTAGTTGCAACAGAAACATTTGAACTTTTACAGTCAAAAACATAACAAATAATTAATTGTACAAAAACATTATAATTTAGTACAGTTAAATTATACATACATAAAAAAATAGTAGGACTCAGAGAAGTAGGTCCCTTTTATTTGGGGTTTTCAGTGAAAAATATCGTAAATGTTCCTTGCACTGTACTTGGAAAGGAGTACCCCTGCATAATTGTAGTCTAGCCATTTTCTGTGATTATAAACAAAATACTCCACTCTGATTGCTGGCAGAGCTCAGAGCTCATTGAAACAGTGAATGTGCTGTGCACCAGAGCTGCATTATTTGATATTTAAGATAATGACAGCATTTAGAGAGTCATCATTCCCCATAGCCAGCTGCTTTCCACCCACTGTTGTCCATGAAAATATAGTAAGTAGGATGCTCTAGGTAAAAGATTAACATTTAATCTTAATATTCAAAGACATTTTTTTGTTAATTCTCAATCAGGCATTAGTTGTGTATGCTAAGAGCTCTCCTAAAGCTGGGTTTAAAGGTGGGTATTTTTCAGTGATAAACACCCTATCTACCAACAAATACTCCCTATATATAACAAAGACAAAACACCAACTCTTGTTTTGGTTTCTCAGCCCAAAAATGCTTGCAGTCTTATTATTTTATATTTGCTTTTGCACAGGTAATATTTGCCCTGGAGGCAATTTTAGCTTTTTGCTTTTCTTGAAAGCAGCAACAATTGTGGGTTTAGTTCTAAAACATCTGCAGATGCTACATTTAATTATATTTTCAAAACATTTTTCTTTGTGACAGTACATCTTCCCGAAACACCACAGGTCACTGAACATGGTTGTAGGGATATTTATTTTTGTCATCCTGTAACTTCATATGCCAAAACTGCAGAAGTCCCTGCACCTGGCTTGTTTTCATCTAGAAATAAATCTTTTAAAAGCCTTTATAAAGCCTGAAATTGCTGTTTTATCTTTATGCGCCTATAATAACAAAATAGCCAAAATTTATTAATCTGTCACGGGTTTTGTTAGATATATGATGGACTTAGTTCAGACTGCTTCCAGTCTAACCTAAATCTAATCTTTTGAATTGCATCCACCTATCCATTTTTCTAAACCATTTATCCAAATAGAGCTGTAGAGATAGAGGGCACGTTCTAGAGAAGCTGATAGTCCATCGTGCCACTATGTTTTCGTCCTGATTTTATTATGCATTATTGTTACATTTTTTCATTCAAATATTTTTAATTGATGTCAGACTACAAGAATTTCCATTTGCATGAATTTCATCTTAATGCATGCTTGTGTCTACACATTTTTGTAGTCTAATTGAATTTATTAACATAATAAATTGAATAACTGCACAGCTTTAGTAGGTCTTCAGTGGGCATTAATATGCTGTATCTGCATGTGCTGTGTGGATTTATGAGCACTCACTGACCTGCACAAGATTCCATGACCCAATTTAGGATTTGCAAAAATCTGGTCATCCTACTTACATGATATTGAGTGTCAAAGGTGATGGATTTCTTCCCCCAATTTCAGTCTAATCCTACTCCATCCAAAGTAATATTTGCACTTTGTGTCAAGTTCTTCAGTGGATGGGAAACGTTCAAACCCATATTTCGTGTGATTATGGATTTTTTTTTCCATTTGGATATTGCATCAGTGTGTTGATAGCTGTTCATTTTACATTTAACTTGGATGACCTGACACAAGAATGATTTGTACTATTTGAGTTCTATCTCAGTATAATCTGACCTTCACAATCTGCTACTGCCTCGAGCTTTCTTCTGTTGGGTTTTGTTCACTTTAGACATTCTAGACATGAAGCACTTTGGCTTTGAAGCAACAGAGACTTTTTGGCTGCTGCTCGATCCATCAAAGTTTAAATCTGGTAGGTGTCCATTATATGAAAAGTTTATTGAACTGTGTGCAAGATAAGACAGTATAAATGAGAAATATATCAGTCCAAAACTGTTAAATACAAATGAATTAAAAACAAACAAAGGAAAACATTTCCTCCCAATTATAAAGGAAAGGTTTGTCAATTAAAATATTTTTATTATTCTTACACTACACTTTTAAAAGATTACTAGTGATATATTTTGCAAATATAGCTTGCTCTGCATAATTAATCAAGCAATTGATAGTATATGATGGGCAAACAAAACAATAATAACCTAAGAAGTGTAGCTAAGTGAACCCTATGATCAGGCCATTGAAATTTGCTGATGATACAGTGCTCATAATTATCACTTCATCTGCCAAAACAAGGAGGAGAAGTGGATTATCTGATGGTGCAGCTCTAACAACTTGCAGTTAAACATGCTTGGAGACACTGGGCTGCAATCCGTACTGACCACTCAAGCACACAAATTATTGAATAAATAATTAAAAAACAAAACAAAAACCCTACCAGCAGAAACTCAAAGCATTTTAAAATTATATTGAGTTTATTCTTGGCTCTTTGATCAATTTGCTATTTAGTTCTTCAACCATGCTTCAAAAAATTTGAAAAGGAGAATTCTCTCCAGCCTTTGTGCACCTTCAGGGTCAGGGAACATACAGGTAAAGTCATCCTGACCCCGAACATCTCTAGACAACCTTTTTGAGCGATCTCCCTAGCTGAAAAGAACAAATGATTTTGTTGATTTTCTTTCATGATTGGCCACGTGATTGGATTGTTAAAGTGGAGATCCTCTATAATGCAATGTGGCATAACATTTGAAAAAATCTTATAAAATTTAGAGTATTTATAGACAAATTCACAAATAGAACAATACATCTCTAAAGCTTGTGTATGTTGTTTTTTTATCCCATTTTCTTTCATTTTCCCTTTTTTGCATAAGAGCTTTGGATTTCTTCCATGAAAATTGACTGTTGATTATTCTGATTTTAGCACAAGACAATGTATTATTTAGAATTTTCCACATAGTGCTTTCTTCTTCCATTTCTTCATCTCAGAAAAAATGTCTTATTCTTCCTTCTCCATCCACTTTATCCAACAACAGCAATGAAGAGTATCACAGAAAAATATAATAGCAAGATTCCATTTTAATCCTCTTCTTAACACATCTCTCATCCTTTGTCTTGTGCTCTCTCAATCTCTATTAAATTTCACCGTCCCAGAGCAGATCCAGTTCATCGTCATGGTAGCCATTAAAGTGTTATGATTTTCAATAACATTTTATAGACTTTGGGCATAAGAGGCCTATTTACAAAATGAAATGATGAGACATCAGTGAGGAGTAAGAAACGCATGGTCATCATGTTAACTCAGAGAGGTTGAAACTCAGTGGAATGATCAATCAATTTATATAGTGCAACTAGGATTTCTGCTTCGGGTCTCTGGGAAAGAGCTAGGTTATGTCATATTATCATATCAAATACCTGCATGGAGGAAAACCATTGAGATATTTAAAGTAGTTGCCCTCCTAAAAGTTTGTTTTAAAAAACGTTGCAAAAGTTGTGGTGTTTTTTAGGTAGAGAAGTATCTTGCTGAATGTGTACAGCGTCGTTGTCAGCAAAAATTACCAATCATACTTCATAATTTGTCACCTAATGCTCTTTGATTTTCAGTAGGTTAAATAAATTTAATGGCTTAAATATTTAATCATCTCACAGTGTTAGTCAACCCCATCAAAATTACTTTGATCGTGAAAATGTTTAACTATTGTTAGGAAGAAAAAGTAATCTAACATCATTTGTGCAAATCTAGTTGACATGTAGTAACATTGGGGTAACGGGAAAAAAAACCCCAATGTGCTCAGAAAGGTGTAGCTGGCAAGGCAACAACAGAAACGGTTTTATTAGCAGTGGTACTGAAGAACAAGATCTAAACTAACTGAAATGACATTTACAGAGTTCAGTGTGCTGTAGCTGACTATCTAATCAGCCTTCAAATGAGCAATGTTAGTACTGAACGTCCCTGGATCTCGAAAGAAACAAAAAAGTAATTTAATTTCAGATGAACTTTCAAGGCTTTACACCTACAGCTATTCTAAGTACATCTGCTTTTTATACTTGGTGGTGAGGTAAATTATGCAGAGAGCATGCAAAAGACTTGAATTTAGTGTTACACAAGCCTTTAGTGAGGCTTGGCTTGGTGATGTGCAGACGTCTTTTAAATGAGGACACAAGTAGGTCACTTCCTCAACATTATCATTTTTGCTTAGGGGGAATGTTGCACCTCCCATCAGTAGTTTTCTTCATCTGGCTCTAATGAGCTAATTACTGACTTGGTCCAGTGCAGCAATGGTTGTCTCACTGTTACCTCACCTGCAAGATTTTCTTTTTTCCAGGATGTTTTCAAGATGTTTAAAATAGAAAGTATGCTGACAAGGATTAAGTATGAATTGTTTGACAACATGAAGTAAAAGAGAACACAATTCTTGTGCAACATGTTTGTCATTATTTGTTACCAAGGTCATGCAGCATTTGTGCATATAACATTTTAGTTCTTGTTCTTGTGTTGACAAAAATGTTATTTTAAGAGATTAAAATCTCACCTTAGACCATATAATACGGTACCATCTGGGTGCAGTCGGATCATTCTGTTTTTTACTGTGACACCATGGACAAACGATTTCTTGTCGTTGAGGAAATAGGTGTCAGGCACCCAGAGCTGGTCAGCGACCCGGTTATCTAAGGTCAGGTTGAGGGGGATGTCAGAGTAGGACAGCCGCTTGTCTCGCCATGCCTGCTGGAAGTACATTGTCAATGTGTAGTCCTGCAAGTGCACAAAGATGGGCAAAGGAGGACAGAGAAAAGAAAAGAGCAAGAAAATAGAGGGTAAAGATAAAATGGTAGGAAAGGAGTTGGGGAAGCATGGAGGAAAGATGAATAAAACAGAGAGATGGAGAAAAACAACAGAAGAGGTGGTTACTTCCCCCCAAAAAACAAGCATTTTACACAGCTGGTCTGTAAGACTTTTCTTATGCAAACTCCTAGATTAGACCAGACTAGACAGGCTTCAATATTGGATGAAGTTCACTTTAAAGCAAATGAAATAGTAGCACTACAGGCCAAAAAACCCTCAGTACAAAGCAACTGGGAATTCCTTCTGTTCATAGAAACATGAGGTTAAGACAGATAGTGTGAAAGAGTGTGTATGTGTCAGAGAGAGGAAGAGAGCGAGGGAGAAAGATGGCTCGTGTTTGGTGTGTAAGTGTGTGTATGTTTTTGTCAGTATGGCTGTGGAGTATAGCACATGTCAGTGGCATGTCCAGTTGGTTTAATGCGAGTGTTTGTGTATTTTTGACTCATGTGACTCATACATAGAAGAGAGAGAGAAAGACAAAGCAAGAGAGACCGCATATTTGAGAAAACTCTAAATAACCTCCAAGCAACCTCAAAAAATAAGTTTTACCGAGTATTTCCTACATGCTCTATTTCCTTTGACAGTGGCTGTCTTTCTGGGATTAAGAACTGTTTGGGTTTGCTGTGTTGTGCTTGCATAACATATTCACCCATCTACTGTTTGCTCAACCCAAAAGTGGAACGCTAGATATCTCAGTCAAGTCAAATGAAGAAATGTATAGAAAGCGCACTCTCTCACAGAATGTATTCGAGTTGCAGAAATCACTAACAGGAAAGGATTTTGGCTTTTGCTTAATGTTCTCCTAAGACGTGGAAATCTAGAACCAACAGTAACTGTTAGTAATGAGACAGAGAGCTCACCTGCCTACCACACAACTAAGGGCTCAGCTTATCAAAGGAAAGCTGAGCTCTTATTTAGTTCAAAATTTGTTAAAACCCTTAATAAATTCTATACATTTTGATCATTGTAGTTCTATGTGTGACCTGAATTAAGCTGAATGGTATTCCTTTTTTTTCTGCCACTGGCTTTTGGATTTGGGCAGTAGTTCTGCTGTGAAGCAATGTTTTGATAAGAGAGTTCCTGTTACAAGCATTCAAGGTTGAGGGTGCATGGAGTGCAATGCAAATTACTTCTGACTGTTTATTTCACTTCTGCAATTAGTGGGGTAATGTGCCAGGAAATGTACCACTGCAAAAACAACTACATTAGCAAACCTTAAAAAAAAAGATGATCAAATAAATCCCTCAAATCTACTATGTGAGCCAGGATGTTGACTGTGATCTTAGCATTTAAATTCAAAGAGCAGCAAGCACTGACTGTGATTTCTGTCACAGCTAATTTAGGCTTGCTATCACCTTGCTCTGTCTGTAAAATGTCATGACAATAATACAACATTACAGTAAATACTGACACCAACATTAAATCACACAGAACATGCAACTTGTAGGATGTTACTGAAAAAAAAAGAGAAATGGTGATATGAGCTGCAGTTATGGAAGCACAATTTGCTCAATTTGTTTATTTCTGAATGCAATTGTTTATCACGAAGTTTGTATACAACACTGCACAGCATTGTCCACAGCTCAGTCTATTGAACTATTTATTTGTATTATTTAATCTTATATTTTTATATAGCTAACATTGCAGCTTCCTTCCACTTATGTTGTATTAAAGCTGACCTTGTGGCCTAGCAGGTGAATAAATGATCAAACTCTGTACACTAGCAAAACTGAACATGAGGATTTGTCAGTAAAAAACTGGTTTTGTCAAAATAAACCCATAAGTCATAGCGGTAGATGTGAAAAACATCTACCGCTGTAATAATACAGTATCATTCTATATTGTACTTTACAGTATAGAGCAGTAGTACAGTACTTTTGTGGTAGAAACTATGCTGTCAGTAACCGGCAATGAATATATGAATAAATGTACAAGGAAATCTGATCTACAGTGCACACATCACCTGAAACTCATAGAGCAGCTTAATAATTTATTTTTTTAAAAAATACAAGAAGTGTGATAAATTGCAAGAAAATTCCCTGTTGGTAAATCTGGGGCACGTTAAAAATAGTCAAGCCAGCAGTCAGATGCTCATGTAGCTTACTGCAGTAAGAAGCCTACCAATCATCCATGAAAAACTAAGTTAAACAAACTTGCTGTCTCAGGGAACTTTTTGTCATGACTGGCACATCCACTTCCTGGCAAAGAGGCTGAACATGCATTTTTGAGTATGCCTGTTGGCTACAGATCTGACATCCAACAGCACCTTGGGAACTAGAGGCTTGGATATCGACTGTATGGAGTCAGGAAAATGGGAGCAGCTTTCAGAGTAAAACCGCTGTCTGACTTAAATCGGTTTTGTCATGTTGTTGTTGTTTGTACCTTATTTGGCTTGGGTGCTGACAACCATGAGTTTGGGAACTGGGTTTTTCAAGACATAAACAGTAGAGTGGCAATACTAGCATCCAATACTATAATTAGACTTGGAATAGGAACAGAGTGACACTGGTAAATTTAGGGTCACACATAGTTTGGAATTGTGTAAACACCCATTTCATATAATTTCATTATAGTCTTTGTGCCATTTACATGGATTCATCCATATAATACCTTACTGGCAATAAATCAAGAATGTACATTATTTACTTAATTTATGATAAAAATAATAAAATAATAATAATGGGAAACCTTACTTCTGCATCTCCATTTAAAAGTTCATTAGGAGGCTTAATAACATGTTGGAAGACTTTTGGAAACAAGAGATGCTAAAACCCAACGTTAAAGAGACATTAAAATTAAAACAAATGTTTTATTGTGTCTTTTCAGTAAATAACTATAGTCATCTAATTTCTGGGTAGCCTCAGTCTTGCGCCAACAGATCCTTTACTGCACGTGCTGCCTTTGCAACATTTCTGTCCCGGATTGGAGGTTACGTAACAGCTCACACTCTGCTCTTTCTGCCATGCTATGCACCACAGCACGTGTGACTGAAGAGATGCTTGTTGAAATGTTCCCCTCCTATACTATCTCTGATGCCCTTATTAGACACAGCATCACACAAAAGCATTCATGTGATACATGGAACAATAGGAATGCTTTTGTACCTCTTCCTCACAAACACACAGATGTTTTTGTCTGGACACTGAAAATGACATTTCAATTATGTGTTGCACCTTTTTACAAATGTTCCTTGTAGAACTGCAGTTTGTACACAAGGGTCTGTTAATGTGTTGTAAATGTGTATGCTCTTCTTGTGGCATTACAGTCTTGACTAATAAAGGAATACAAGAAAAGAACCGTGATTTTTACCTACAACTCTCTACAAGTTTTCCATTCTTAAAGAATTCTTTGCACTACATAATAACTTTTTCGATCTTATGTTGCACTCACAGTTAGGTCCATATCTATTTGCACAATGACAATATTGTGGCCGACACACAGAGACGACACTGATGATACTTTCATCGTGATTTCTTTCACGCTCAAATTCAGAGCTCCAATGAACAGATGTTTCATCTGCATAGTCTGATCATTTAGGTATAGGACTCTGAACTGTTGGGATTATGTGTAAATTTGATTATAATTTGTAAACAGTTAATTCAATGCTTTTGATTTAAAGGTTAAAATTGTATCTTTTTGATTCAATATCCACTCCAATGGTGCACAGAGGCAACATCACAAAAAACAAAACAAAACTGTGCCACTGCCCAAAAACTTCATTTAAAGCCACAATTCCCACAAGGCAAAGTCCACTTTCTGAATTTGAAATACTCTTTAGAAATAGTGTAAAAAAATAAATAAATAAAGGACAGCCTTGGTGGAAAAAGAAGGGTGTTAAATGGCCTGCGGTTTGGTTATTAAACTGAGTGAATGTTTCAGTTGTCATCCCTGAGAGCCTATTATTGCACACCGATCTGCTTGAGGAGGCTGTGGTTTGCTGAGCAGGACAGGCCCTGTGGAGGTGCCACTGTGGCTAGTTTACAGTGAACATAAAGCTCCCCTCAAAAACAGTTATAGTGCATCTCTCTTGTGGAGGAAAGAGGTTGTAAATCACCAGAATAACTGCAGCGGGTGTGTGCATGTAAGTGCAAGGGAGGCTGTCATAACAACAGTCATAATGAGCATCGGTATATAAACTATGCTGGAGAGAGATAGAGAGATGGAGAGAAATGAAAAAGGAGACAGAGTGAAGCAGGAAGAATGATATTGAATTTACGTGTGCAGAATATGCTGTGCTCCCACACTGTCAAAGAGGGGACAATGCGAAGTGATCATTAAATTTTCACACACAACCCTATGACATGATCCATTATATCTAATAACCAATATCCAATTCAGCAGGATGCTTTACACTCTGCAATAATTGTTTCTTTTTGGAAGGTTAAATATATTATTAGAGTTTTTTGGAACAACTAAAAAAAGAAATTCTATAATCTATAAGACAGTTGGTCAAACTGCTTTTGATTGCTTCTCTATAACATGTTGTTAGTAAGTAAGTCTGTTAAAATACTGTAGAAATTTTATTTTACAGAAATTACAACTCCATATATAGACACTGGAAATATATAGTACTCTTCTGAAAAAGCAGTAAAGTCAATCATGTCATGGGTGCACTCCACTCTATATCCTGCTGTAAGATTGTTTCTATATGCTTATTCTGCTCAGCTTGCCATCAGCATTCATCGCTATAGAGGTACTGTCATTATAAGTCTTAAGTTGCAGCTATCTCAGTGAAATGCAAATGGGAAAGGCGACAATTATTTCCCAGAGCATATTCAAGTAAGTCCTTTAGACTGCTTATAATCTTGAGCTATCTTACTCCTAGCTATGGATGATGACCCTCAATTAGTCGTAATGACCAGGATTTCTTCTAAAATAAAACAAATCTGTGTTTAATCCAAGCACGTATC